CCCTGAGTATTTAGCCAAAACTTCCCTTCCCTTCTTTTCTACTCTGTGTATAGGTTGCACGTGCCAGATGGCAGCCACTCTCCATTCCATAAGTAACTACATTTCGGGAAATGTATGATTTTGGATAAAGGCAAAACACCTCCCCACCCATCTAGTAAAAATGACTAGCTTGGCACTGCAAGTTCAGTAATCAGCTTTACTAGATACACCACAATACTGCCTGCAAGTCAAACAGTAAGAGCTTTTAGTAAGTACAGCAAAAGCTGTGTTAACCAGCACTTCATTAGCCAGAAAACTCTATTAACCGGCATCCAAGGGATGTGGCAAAAGCGAAACCGGAAGTACCACTTCCGGGTTTCGTCGCCATCTCAAGCAGAGTTCTTGCTACCTCCTTGGCCCGCAGCAAAGCAGCCTGCATGGGGCAAAGCAGCCTGCGCAGGGCCCCCCTCCCTATCCCCTGGCACACTGATGCCGGGGAGTGCACCAAACGGTACACATCTGATTAACTGGAATATTTGATTAACCGGCATCTCCCATTCCCAGGGGGTGCCGGATAACAGAGCTTTTACTGTAGTACTGTTGATTCCCCTTCAATACAAATTCTCACCCCTCTATCCTTCCTCCCACTTGCTCTTCAAAGAATTATTTACAAACTGCAGACAGGCTCATTAAGAAAAGTGTATTTTTGGTATCAGACTAAGCTAATCATACATTTTGCTAGTGAAACAATATCAAAAGAAAAATTAATATCTAGGGGAAATATTTAGAACAAGAACTTACAAAAATGTAATACCCTCTCCCTCGAAAAATCTCACAGCCCTAGCTCTACAAAGACCTTTAAGAGATTTAGAGGCTTCAAATTAAATAGAAAGCACATTACACACTTGCAACATTTTAATCAGATTAAGATTTAGAGTCTGTGGTGGGACACAATTCACAATTAACTAACAAAAATACACAGAACATCAAATTAGCAAATTACATGGAATTTTAAAGGCTTAGAATGATATAATAAACTCAAGACTACTCACCCTTTCTTGCTTTTTCTATTGATTTGAGTTTTTCCTTTGCTTGATAAACAGCTGTTGCCTAGTTTGTGAAAGAAGAAAAATTCTCAATGTTTCCTTAATTTGCTATCTTAGGCTCAGTAAAAGAGGCCCTGTGAATCCATTTACCCTAGTAAGAACTACCTTTACAAGAGCTGAAAATTGACATTACACAATGAATGTTTAATTAAGGTCTCTTCTTATCTGAGCACATAACAGTACTGACTCTAGTATGTCAAAAGATCCAATTAGCTACCTTATCTACCAGCTTTGATGCCACAGTTATATCTAGCAAATTTCCCTTTGAGACACTGGAATTAGTAAATGCAAAAGGTTTCCTATTTTTTTCCTATGGACCAGGCCAAAATGCAAAGTGCAACATATTCTTGTTTATGTTTTCTTTCTTTAGACATCACTTGTTTTCAATTGTTCACTGTAAATTAGTTACATATAGAAAATTAAATGTTCTTTCCACCATAAATCTTTCAAATACTGAAAATATGGTAGGTAGAATGTAAGATTTTTTTAGGTAACAAGAGGTTTGAGGAAAATTACTATTACGGCTTTTCCAAAAAGCCACACAAAAATACTGTGGTAACTTAAATCAACCCCAATTACTGAAAAGTAACTTCTAAGCTCTCACGAACAGTTTAAACATTTAATCTCCTTTATCTAATACAATGTTGTTTTCTCCATGGCTGGTGATGTTAAAAAAAAAAAAAAAAATCCCCTCCTTCCCCCCAGCCAGAAACTCTCAAATACAAAGGCTGACTCACCAGTATGTGCTCTGCTTCTTTCAGCTGTTTTTGCAGCTGCTGAATATCACTATCCCTTTTTTCTACTACTTTTTCTAACAGTTGCATCTCATGATGGATTTTTCCCTGATCAAGTGCAAGTTTCATTAATTCTTGAAACTCCCCATCTCTCTGGATCAGCAACTCCAGAATCTGTCAGATAACAAATGTTAAGTAACTCATTAACTAGGTTAAGAGCAAATTCACATTTGCACTATAAAAAGGCACACCGTGGCAAAGGGGATAGCATAAATTGGACTTGAGACATTTGCATCAACTTTGTTGTATACAACAAAAACCTGTATTTAAAATAAAATTGTCTGCATCCTCTTCTTGAGAAAACAACCCACAATGCAGATAGCTAGGGACCTACTTAATTCATAATTTCACAGAAACCATGAAATCAGGCATTGTCTGCAAAAGTGGACATTGTCCACAAAAATCCCCCAAATATAGAAAAACCTAACTAAAAATAAAATGCTGGCTCCCCAGTGGAATCTGACAGTCTTCATGGTTGCTACGGCCTAGCCCCACAGCCCTGGGTGCAGAGTAGAGGTTCTCTCAGCCAATCAGCAGCAAGGAGAAGGAGCTGCACAATTCTCTTGGTAAGCCAGCAGCCAGAGATGGGCCCCTGGGCCCCACTAAGCTCACTGCCACTTAGCTCAGTATTGCCAACTCTCATGATTTCTGGTGTTGTTCTTAAAGGCTGTGTTTTGGGAATGTGAAAAACTTAGCTCTTTTAAGTGGGGGTAGGGGATTTAGAAGGGGAAATGCAAAGCATCTTAGGATGCTGGGGGACTGTGAGCTAACCTGAACCTGGAGAAGATGTGTGATAGAAGTTCAAAGAACTGATTTAACTTAAATCAGTTAAGTCTGATGCTATATCCATCCAGGTTTATCTTTAACTGGTTTCAACCATTTTGAAAGTAGTTTGTATGCAGTGAACTTCTGTTGTGTTACAAATCTGAACCGTTTTTTGATCATTTATACTGGTTAATGTGTAACATCTGTCCTTAGTCTTAGTGATGCTGTAATCTTCATACAGCAATTAGCCTAAATACTAGATAGCACAAGAAAGGCTGAGTAGAGGTTAAGAAGTTACACCTATATTTAATAAATAAAGTTCCTTTACCTGGCTCTCCTCTCCTGGCTGTGGGAGCTTCTGGTTTCTTGAAATTGCCAAAATTTCAATCAGTTCCCTAAAATAAAATCTACATTTTTACACAGTTTTTAAAAGTCATTAGAACATGTATTTCATCCAACATGGCTGGATTTTTATAATCTCTAAAATATTTCACAACCCTTGAAAAAGCGTGAAAGTACGTAAGTGTTGCTTTCTGCAGTAAAAAGAAAAATTAGATTTTACAAGCATATGAGAATATAGATCCAACTTGGCATATAAAATCTATGGCAACAGCCCTTCAATTTAGCAGAAAAAGATTTGCTAGTTATAAAACGATTTCCACATTTCAAGTAACATTTTTGATTACTAAAAGGGCCAGATCAACAACTTTTCAGCATAAGAAAGAAACAAGGAAGAGTTCACAGAGACATCATCGTCTCCATCCCCTCTTAAGAATTCTGACTATGAAAACCTATCTGTGAGACTGGAGGGTGACAGCAAAAAGAATGTGATAGGCCATGTCCAGATGAGCATAGCTGACCCATCTGTGGTGCCACACACCACACGTTCAGGTGTTTTCTGCACTGCTATCTTGCAGTGAGGGGGGTGGAGGAGTTGACCCCAGAAATGCCAGGGTCAAAAAAAAACCTGTGCAGAAAAAAAACTGGGGTGGTGCATGTGGTAACAGTGCGCACCACCCAAAACCAGAACCTGGCCTGCTAGAGCCATACTCTGGTGGCTGACCAGGCTCCCAGCTACAGAAGCACCGTGGCTGCAGCTTTCCCGGCCCCCTGGTAAGGCTGCTGGGGCCAGCACAGTTGCTGGCCCCAGCCTCCTGTATCCCACCCAGGGTAACCTGCCATGCGCCAGAGCATGTGTGGCACAGGTGTTCCCCAGGCACAAGTAACAGCAGCACAGACAAGTAGCAGAAGCACACCTGCTACTTGTCCCCAGGAAACCAAATGTCCAGGTTATTCTGGACTCAGTCATAATGGCTATTTTTATATCATGAGGATATACAAGTGAAAGTGAAGCAACTGATCAGTGTCATAAACAATCCATTTAAACTAATACCCAAAAATGTATTAAGTGTAATCTATACCAGACAGATTGTAGGATGCTGACAGTTAAAAGGAATAATGTCAAATCAGTTATCTATAAAGTAATGGACACTTAAAATACCTCATGCTCCCATTGTCAGAAAAGTGTAATTATCTTACTGTGTTACTTGGAGAAGCAGCTACCTTACACACAAGCTGCAAATTCATTGGATCAATCCTTAGCTGACTGCACTGTTTTCATGAATCAATTTACGTCTTAGCTATAAACCAAATAAAATGAATCATAACTTGAATATTTCTTAACAAGTAGATTACATCTGTGTCATATTTTATACGAATGCTCATATATGCTTTATGAAGTTTGGAAGAATCATTATAGAACCATTTTTTGGTATCTGGTATACCTTTTCATAAAGGTAATGTTAAGTATACTTTATTTTTTCAATACTATGACAACAAAATGTTATGTTATTTTTTTCAGCAATATTACAGGAACACTGTGGATTCTCAGTTTAATCCATACAAACAGACCTTTAGTCACAAATGAAGGACTTCATATGGATATGGGCTCTACTTCCCAAAAAGCAGATTACAGGATTGGGGTTTTAGTAGATGTGGCATGTGGGGCTAGTCTAGGTGATGCACTACACATGGCACACAGAGAGAGCCTGGGGTGTGCACTGCATGTGGAGCCCATGCCAGACCATCCTTGTGTGCTGGATCTGACACAGAGAGTCAATCTGTGGGTCCAATCCAGACTGGACCTGGACCCAACATGTAGGGCAGGTCTGACACAGGCATAGCACTCAGCACGTGCCCCAGACTGTCTCCCCCATAGGCCATGTGCAGCATGTGCTAAACCCTGCCCCATGTGGCACACAGTGCACAAGGCCAATCCAGGGTGCACACTGTATTTGGTACCCATGCCAGACCGGCCCTGCACACTAGGTCTGGCGCGCACAGCCAGTCTGTGGGCCTGGGCCTGAAGTGCACAAACCCCAGGTCCAGTGCATAGCTGGTTTGAAACAGGCACTGCAAGCAACACATACCCCACACTGGCCCTCCATGTTGCACACAGCTTATACACCAGCTCCAGCCCCTGTGCCAAATGCAGTCTGTGGCAGATGGGCTGGGACCAGTGTGCTGCATACAGCATGCACTGGTCTGTGACCCACAGGAAGCACTGATGGCCAGATGACAGGGCCCCATAGGCCACCACTTTGACACCCCTGGTATGGATCTATTCGAGCTAACTGTAACCTAACTCCTTCCTGTTTCAGCACCATCCTGACCATAGCAGCACAGAGCTCAGCCTGGGAGATAGAATCATATAGAAGTAGGACCAGAAGGGACCTTGAGATGTCATCTAGTACCAGGACCCATTTGTAAACATCGATGGCCAGTCCCGACCCAGTGCCCCTCACTCCTGATCTGCTGCCCTCTGCCCCTACCATATGAGGCAGGAGGTGGGTGTGTAGGGCAGCGGGGCACTCAGCAGCCCTCTGCAGGCTGGAGCATTGCCAGCCTGCAAGGGAAAAGCCCTGGTTTCATCTGGTTTTCTCCTTTAAAGGAGAATCCATTTTTTAAAAGTGTGTTGATCCATTTTTAAAGTTTATTCAAGACCTTTTAGTATATTCTTGTAACCCACTTTTGGGTCACTACCCATGGGTTGAGAAACGCTGATCTAGTCCAACCCCCGGCCTGAGATTTGAACCTCGCACTTTGGGGTTATTAGCACCGCACTCTAACAGAGCTGAATGGCCACCAGATCTTTAACCCAACTTGTTCAGCATATTTCCAAGCCCGCAGACTTTGTCACTGCTGCAGCAAAACCTGTCCGATTCCCCAGCAGAGCGGCAGCAGGAGCCATGTTCTGAAGCCAGGCAGTGGGCACAGCTGCGCGCCCAATTCCTTTTTATATATACACGTGCGTGTGCACGCTACACATGACGTACACACATGTATTTATATGCATGTATTTATACACTACATACACATGTACATTATATACACGTGCACATGCATTTATATGTATACACACACGTATAAACATACATATGCATTTCCAATCGCCACTTCAATTCCCGATCCCACCCGACGCCCCCCCGCGGGCCGTGTAACTCACAGCCCCTAATACGTGT